GAAAATGAAAATGAAAATGAAATAAAATAAAAATATTGGAAATGTTTCTATTTAGTGGCCCATCAAAGTGGTACCTATTTATCTACTCATGGTCACCCACTTTCAAGCTGCTGGGTCAACAGAAGCTGGAGTGAGTGATGAGAGCTCATCCCATCACATGGCAGTAGCCAGCTCTCGAACACAAGCCTGCCAATTTTCAGCCTTGCATCCTAGCCACATGAACCACCACTCTCCTTACCGTCTTATACATCTGTAAGATTTGCCAAAAACAACCTTGTAAATTTACTGCATCACTTTAAGCCACCCTTCTCTAATCTGGGGACTTTCGCATGTGTTTTTCCAAAACAGGTTAGGTAAAAATTCTAGGAGTTATTCCTGAAGCATCAAGCTGGTAAAGACATAAACTTCCCATAGGAACAGCAGTATTCCAAGTGTTGCTCAGTTCCTTATTTCTGACTGTTGGGCATCTTGCCTGCGACTGCTGGAGTTAAAATCAAGGACTTTAGGTCAAGTGAAGGCTCCTGGGGACTCTAGATGTTGTTGAGTGATGGTTGAGTGATGGTTCTCATGATCCTCAGTCACTTTGACCATTGTTCAACAACAGTGGAAGATGGAATACTCTGGGTGGATATTGGAAGTAATGAATCAGGTTAATAAAGTAATCAACACTGGAGCTGTATTACTTTTCCCTCTTAATAAGATGCTACAATTTGCTTGTTCTTCCCAGCCTTTACGGACCCACAGAGCTACTATCTGTCCTGCATCTGGAGCATCCTTTCCCTCAAATGGGCTTTTCTCCTCGGCTTATACTCTCATCGGTACAAGAAGGAGTTTGCGGACATCAGCATTCTGAGTGACTTCTGAGATCCTGGATGTCCGTCCCATCAAAGAAAGACCTTGAAGGGTCAAGGAAGGCTGTTGTTCATCTGATTGACAGTTGGAGGCAAGGGGTTGGCCAGAAGGCGGCTGAAAGAAACAGACAGCAGGTGCCTGACCTGCTTCTGCATTTTCTTTGCTTCCTAATTGCTTTTGTCCAGTCATTCGCCCTTTTGACTAGTTCTCTTTGTCCGTGTGCGCTCATCATTCACGAAGACTTTGTTGTTTGGATGGATGTCTCACGATGTCTAGCAGGACCTGAGTTTTTGTCCCAAGTCTCTAATATCTATGACCTATGGCATTTTTCATAGTTGTTGTTTTTTCTTTAATGAGAAGCAACTCCCCCTTTTGGGGTGGGGGCAGGGGCAAGGTCTATGATCCAGTCCTATAAAGCAAGGATTGATTTGTACTCCTTTCATACAGATGTATTTTTATAGCTCAAGGTGTGAATCCATTTTAAAACTTTTTTAAAGCAAGCTTTTCCTCCCTTCCCTGGTGCTTTGGTGGGGAGGCTTGCGTATGTGCTGCTGGCGTGGTGATCACAGTTTAGGGACAAGAAATGTATGTTGTGAACAAAACTCTGCACCTCTTTTTTTTTTCTTTAAACTTTAAATAACTTTAAATAGTTATGATGGATGTTTCTTTAATTTGAGTTAGACAAAGCTAAATACTGTTGCAAAGGCCCCTGGAGTTGAAGACTGACCATGTGGGTGAAGAAGGAAAATAACATTCCTATCCATACATTTCCCCTTCCCCTGTAGCTATCTGGACAACATAGGCAAGGACCTGGAGATTTCCAGATGTTGTTAATTACAGCTGCCAATAGCCTCAGCCAGTGGTCTGGGCTTCAAAAGTATCTGGAAGTTCCTTCTCCATAATGTCATTATCACTTGATTTTGTTTTTTTGCTTTTTCTAAAACTGATATTTTATAAAGTGAGCAACTGAGATATTTTAGGAATGGGGAAGCCAGTTCCTTCTTTGGAGTCAACTTCATTCTCTAATTCTTGAAGACTGGGACAAAAATAGATAATTACCACGATTATTTTATTCTCTGATTTTTTACTTCTGGTTGAATAGGAATTCAGGGTTGAATAAGTTGGACTGTTGGCCTATGGGATGGTCATCCCTTTAACTGACTCACTTTTTGCGGCATATATCCGGCATAAACTAATTCACAAAAAGAAGTTTTTGTTTTAACCAAACGCTTCGCTGAGTTAGATCAAGCTTTGTGTGAGATAGAGTTGAAGAAGTGGGGTGGGTGCCACTTGTGAGAAGAAATGGTGGCTTGGGAATTTCTCTGCCTCTCCTGAACACATTTTTGTCATTGTAATGTCACTTTAAATGTTTCGGTAGTTACACCGAGGATGTGTTTGAAAGGGGATGTGTTGCACTGTTCCTCCTTCACCTATTTTCTCCCCTTTTTGCTTACACTGGGATGTGCAATCCTCCTTGAAGTTTCTGTCTTTCCGCCCTACTCTAAAAGCCCTTGGTACTTCCTTGAGGCTTACAATTGTCCTCCATCCAAAGGATAGATTAGTGAAATTTGGAGTAACCTTAATTTGAATGCAGAATTATAGAGAATGACTTGTCTTTTAAACTTCTGCATCTTTACCTGTTAAATGCGCAGACCAATATTTCTCAACCTTGGCAGCTTGAAGATGTGAGGACTTTGACTCCCAGAATTCTCCAGTCAGCATGTTGACTGGGGAATTCTGAGAGTTTTGAAGTTCACAGATGTTGAAGCTGCCGAGGATGAGAAACGCTGGCATTGACTTTTATGTAGAATGATCTCTAATCAGGCAACTGTGGTCAACCCAATTGTTCCTAATGTGTCAGGAAGCACTGGGATGAGAATCAAGTGGTTCATGGCTCCCTTTGGGTTAATGGGCTGTAAGGCAGATATAGAGATGTTTCAAGTTTATTGATGAACTCCTCAGCCTTCAAATGCCATCCTGTTTGTCAAATACGATACATGGTACTTTCATCAGGGTTGGTGATCTGCACTGCAGGGATCGGGTTTCTCGGGACTTTTTTTTCCCCAATGGCACAAAAGGGATTTGATAAATTCAGGGACACCAAATCTTCATGGGAAATTTAAGAAAATTTATTAGAACAGATCTATTTAGCTCAAAGTACTCCGTAGAACGAAGGTACTAATATAGTAATATATCATTTACTAGGGAGGTTGTGGTGAAGAAAAAGGTAGCCGGCCTGATGCCAAGCAGTGGAGAAGGTGGGCCTTTGTGTCCATGCTGTGATTTTATGTATGCAGAGGACCCAATGGTGACGCAAACCTTCATCCGCTCTATTTAATCTCACTGTTTCATGCTTGCTGAAACTCACATGATAGAATGTTTTGTGTTTTGCTTTCTCCTCTCCATGTGCAATAGGTATGTGACAGGAAAATGGTTCACCCAGGTGAAGGATGTTCGCATGCCATTTTTTTCTTATTAATAAAATAAAATGGTCAAAAAAAAACCATTTAAAAGTCTCTTTCTATTTGCAGAGGAAAATCAAGAGCATGTAGGTCAATCCATTTTAAGTACAAGGCAGATGCTGAAAGTATCCAGATGTGATGGGGAGAAGTGTTGAGTAAACTGTTAGCGGTAGGCCTCAACGACCACGATTGGGACCAGAGTTTATGTTGCTAGGGCAGTTGTTAAGTGAGTCACGCACCCAATTTTACGACCTTTCCTGCTGCAGTTGTTAAGCAAATCGCTAAAAGCCATTAAGCAAATCCGACTTTCCCCATTGGCTTTTACTTGTCAGAAACTGGCGGAGAAGATCACAGATGGAGAACAAATGACCCTGGAATGCTGCGAGAGTCATAAATACATGCCAAATGCCCAGATTTTGTTCATATGATCTTGGGGATGCTGCAAGAGTTGTGTGTGTGTGGAGGGGGGGAGGGGGATTGATTGTCTCTTTTACCAGGGCCATTGTAACTTTGAATGGTCATTAAACACAATAGCTATAAACCGAGGATTACCTGTACAAATGTAGGCCATCATTGGAAAATGCTAATGTCATAACCTTTGGACATAATTTTTAAAAGGGGCACATTTCTCTATTATTTACTTTATATATTTTAATAGAAAGGAACACTTTCTTCTGTTTTTAAAGGCTATTGCAATAGCTTTGCACTCTTGCAGCAGTTTCAAATTATAAATGTTTCTGGATGTTACATTTTGGCAGTCATGCGCTTTGCTATTATCCATGGAATCACTGGGTCACAAGTGGTGCGCGAATGCACACACGCGCATCCCCAGTTGTGAGAGCAACAGGTGAGTGCGTGCTTACCCTCGCGCAAATGGAGCTGTGCCTGCTTGCCTGACGTGTGCACAGAACCATTCCCTCTATGCCCTATAGGCAGGGTGGGATTCAGCCAGTTGGGATCGGTTCAGGTGAGCATTTGGCCCCACCACCCGCTCCTGCGCTTTCCTGTCCTATACTTCAGTTTTTTTAGCTCGGCTGATTTACGCGACACAATGGATTGCCACACGTCAGCTATTTTACTCACAGACACTGACATAGAAGGTACGTTTTGAAGCTTAAAAAGGTCATTTTTTTGAATGCTGTGTGGCACGCGCGCACACCAGGCATGCACTCACCAAACCAGCTGTTATACTGGTTGCATCCCACCACTGCCTATAGGGTGTAATGATGTTTCCTCCCAGGTTGCAGAAAAGTGATGTTGCCAGCTACCAAGAGGTAAGCAAGTTTTTGCCGTCTCCTTCCTGCGGAAAATAATACCAATTGTTTATGGCATGAAGTTGGAACTACAACCAACAGAGAGGAAAGTCATCTTTTTCTTCCCATATTTCTTGCCTGACATTGGTTTTAGGTAGAGGAGTAAAGCCTTGTGTGTGGGAAGTCCATTGTTTCCCAACCTTTATATAGCTCCTGAATATTGTTGTATGGGCCCTAGATCTCCTTCTAAACCAGTGGTAGTCAACCTGGTCCCTACCGCCCACTAGTGGCCGTTCCAGCTTTCACGGTGGGTGATAGGGGTTTGCTGTAACACTGCTTTATAAATTTTATAAAGTTACTTCCCTACTTTATAAATCACTATTACTGTGGAACCGGTGGGCAATTAGAAAATTTTACTACTGATGTACAAAAGTGGGCGGTAGGTATAAAAAGGTTGACTACCCCTGTTCTAAACCTTCTGCGTTTTGGAGGCAAGATATACATAAATAACACTTTGAAGAGGAAAAAAAGTTACTGAAACTGGTTAAAAATGTAGAAAGTCCATTCCTGCCTATACATAAATACGCAGCCCACTCAATGTGGCCCATGTTTTTTAGCCTTGTGTTTTTAGTCTCGTTGTTTGGATGGGGGTTGTGAAGACTGAAATCTGGTGCTTTATTAAACAGGGGAATGACTAGATAGTCTCCTGGTTTTCAATATATCACAGGGGTCAACAGGTTCAGGAATAACCTCCAGATCCTGGTGAACTTCAGTGCCTAGTTTCTTACAAGATGCTGTGTCTTTAACTATGCATTGTTTTGCCAGGTTCAGCTACCCAGAATTGTTAGATGGGCTGGTGTATGAATCAAATACATACATATATATCCTTTTCCAGCCTCAAAAGCCACATTACATCAGGAAAGGAATAGAGGGGATTGTTTTTCAGTAGTTTCTTTCTCTTAAACCAGTCAGCAACAATCTGTGCCATGTTTCTTTTTTCTCTCTGGAGTCTCTTCCCCACTTTTAAAAAGGACAGAGGATCCCAAAACAGCTTTTGATTGTATGTGTTAAATTTCTCAATATTTATCATAATACAAATTAAAATCAACACATTCACTATCACTACTGCATCTCGCAATTATTGGATGGGTTCTTAAGATTATATTATTTTTCAACATAGACTGTCAGTTTTTGATTTTGTGGATGTCTGAATCGATCTTGGGGGATTCCTAGGACTACAATTTAAGAAACACTGATCTATGGAATAATACTACCTTTCTTGTATTTCTAGTTTGAAGAGTTATTTCCTCCTTGCTTTTGCTACAAAAATAACAGGAAGAAAGTCATTAAGAAATCTCAAGTTAACTGAGGGATATAAAAATGAGACTCGAATACCATAATTGTTTCTTGGCCATCCATTTCCATACTATTCTTTCTAGATCAGTATTTAAGAGTAATGAATTTCAGTTTTTTATTTTATTTTATTATTTTTGGGTACAATAATGCAGATGGTCAAATGGAAGAAGCTCTCGTTGCTTGTAATGAAGATGAATGTAAATATTCTAGAATGATTCCCAGAGACAGGAAACAAATTATACAAAAGTGTGAGAGAAAACGGTGAAAGTTTTATAGCCAAAGTCCCAATCTATTGTTTAAGTTGTTCCTTGAAATGCAAATGATCTATTAAATACCATGATTCAAATGACTTTATAACCACAGATTAAATCAATTGTAGCCCATGAGCTCATGTCTTGATCGATGGAAGAATAACAAAGGACACATTTACCAGTTTAGAAAGGCACATGGAATAGTTCTCACGTTTCTGACCAATTGGAGGTTTGGGTCAAATTCAGCCACACCTCAAGCAAAAAAGAGTTTGTGGTGACACCAGCACAAAACTGGAGCCATTATGTGAAATTTTGGAATTCGTGAAGGACAAGTCTGGAGCCAGAGAATTTTGGATGCACAGGCATAAAATGCCAGAAATAATGCAGGAAGCAAGGCAGATGGTCACCAATAGTCCACGTGACGGGATTGCTCCATTCGGCTCTGCATTCAGCAGTGTTCCCCAGCTGATGCCTCTCAAAAATTAGAAATAGATTTCAAAAAAGGAGCTTATTCTAAAAGTGTGTTGAGAGGGCTGCAGATCTGCAAACCCTGTCCTTAAAAGAAAGAAGAAAACCAGCCCAACTTCTGAACTGGTGTAGATGGTACCTTTCCATTCGGACACCAAAACAACCAAACTAGTGGGGCAGCCTTTCTTGTCATGCTCTGCCATATCAATGCAAACATCATTTACCTCTGTTTCTTAATGGAATGTATGTCATCAACTGCTTCACCAAGAATAAGGGGGGATGGAATCAAGGACCCTACCATGTTTTCCCCAAAATAAGACAAGCACTTGGCCTTATTTTTGGGGAGGTTTTATTATTTTTGAGGTGCAGGAGGCAGCGAGAGTGGTCACCTCATGGCGGCTGCTCTGTTGCAATATCTTCAGGGAGGACTTATTTTCGGGAAAACATGGTACATATTCCAGACATCACATTGAAACGGGAAAAATTATGCTGGTTTTGGGGTGGGTTATTTTTTACCTCCCTTTACAGCCCCTGGGAGATTTAAACAAGCTTCCCCAAAAAAGACAAAGGGAGAAGGAAGACTAGAAAGTAGGATGTCTCAGTAGCCAGAAAGTCGATAGCCACATATTTTCCTTGGATCCTTCCGCCCAAAGAGATGCTATATGGGTTTCTAGGATGCTGTGCCTCTTTCTCCGGTCTTCTTGAATGTCCTCAAATATTGATGGGAACCATGGCAGGGTTATAAATGAATGCCCAAGTCATCTCCATTTAATTAAGTGAATTTTGCCCCATTTTATGACTCTTCATCACTGCAGTTGTTAAATTAGTAACATGGTTGTTAAATCTGGCCTCCCCATTGACTTTGCTTGTTGGAATGTCGCAAAAGGGGATCACATGATCCCGGGACGCTGCAATGGTCATAAGTATGAGTCAGTTGCCAAGCAGTCAAATTTTGATCACATGACCGTGGTGATGCTGCAAGGGTCATAAGCAGGGGTGGGTTTCAACCGGTTTGCGGCGGTCCCCGCGAACCGGTTGGTCGGCGAACCCGGAAGTAACTTCCGGGAACGGTGAAGGGCCCACCTGCCCGCCGGCACTCCTTACCAGTCTTTGAAGGCTTCTGCGCTTCCACGCAGGCGCATGGCACATACAGCGCCTGCGCGATTCTCCGCGAGCAGCTGGAGCATTGCGCAGGCGCTAAGACGCATGTGTGAACTGCGCGCGTGCACGAGGACGCCGCCAGCCCCGTTCCAACCGAACCGGTTGGAACGGGATTAGCAACCCACCCCTGGTCATAAGGGTGAAAAATGCTCATGTCCCTTTTGTTCAGTATCCTTGTAAGCTCAAAGGGTCACTAAACAAAACTGTTGTAAGTCAAGGACTACCTATATTGTGCAATGTAAGCTTCCATATATACACATACACAGGGACATATATTGAAAACTTACAGAGAGGCCTCTAATATAAATTTATTTTATAAATAAAGGGATAAATAAAGAAGTACTTGGGGTGGGGGAGGTCTTCCCGTTTTCCCCCACTGTGGCCATGATCTGGAAGAAAGGAGAAAGACATTTTGGCGTCCTGCCCCCCCTTCCTCCCCCCACTCTCTCTATTCCCCACACATCCTGGCCTGGGAACTTTTGCATTCTTTTCCACCAGACCTTTGATGGAAATGGGGTGTGGGTGTGTTTGCTGTTGGGGGGACGAGCT